CGTCTCTCGGTGCCGATCTTGATGGTCACAGTTGCCGTCTTGAGCTGCTTCTGAATCTTCTTTGCATCGGTGTAGCTTGTTGCCAGCAACGTAGTTTTATCTGCCAATTTTAGCCCTTGTTCTCCCAGTGCTAGGAATAGTGCCTTTGTGCTCTCGACCGTGGCCGTGGTGATCTGATTTCTGCTTCCCACAATGCGAAGACTGATGTCGTCGAACCATGCACGAGGGATAGGTCGAGGTAAGCACGTAGTGCCTGTGAGCTTTGCCATGGCTGCGTATACCACCGTCTTGGCCACGTTGTTCGCATGTCTGGAGCCTGCCAAAATCGATTTGTCGGGGAGGATCGGCTCCGAGAAGGCGCCATGGCATCGCAAGACTCTGGTAGCTGAGTGTTGGAGCATCATGAGGTATAACGGCTTTGCTGGGAAATTCATCTGCAATGCTGCTGGCACCACTTTGTCGATTCTCAGGCTGTCGTAGAACTTTTCGATATCTGCCAGCAACACCGTTTCCCATACATCCAACGCGTCTGCACACTCGTCCGTGATGAGTCTCCTTAGCGCTTCCCTCAAGCAGCTGTTGCCTGCGATTGCCGCATCCCATTCTCGCTCGTGTTCTCGCGCCCATTGTCGTACTCTGTCTCTGTGAAGTAGCTCCCAGCACCGAAACAAGTGTGGAAGAAGTGCAAGTGCTCTATCTCCTTTGTTTGGTTTTGGCATAACCATCACCACTGAAAGTAACAACTGCCACGGCCAGGTAAGATCCCGCTCGCATTGGTTAAAGAGGTTGATAAGAGTCTGCTTCCCTGCGGTGGGTAATCTTCTCAGGTCCGTCGGGCAAATCATGTCCACTCCCTTTCCCTTGTCGGGTTCGCCTTTCAAGCACCTGATCAGGTCCTCGATGGTCCAGGGGTCGTGTTCATCGTCTTCTCGCGCAGCTCGTCTGAGTTCGTTCAAGTAACCTTCGTGCGAAGTATGTGGCGCACCCGCGCATGTCCATATCTTTTGAAAATCAGCAGCTTTCTGGTCGACCATATCCTTTGGGCTGCATGCGGTGCCGTATTCAGTATGTATATCATGCTCATGTCGGGGTGGCGGCTTAGTGATCCGATGCAAAACTCCGATGGTCTTCTCTGCCCGCGCCAACCATAGACTGTACTGCTTGCTGCTGTCCCGCATGTCCTGCTTGATGGCCATCCGCTTCTCGTGTGCTGCTTGTGCTGCCATGCCCTGAAGTACATCCAGTGGAACCGTTTTAAGCGCTGCCATTCGATCTGCCCATATCTGCTGGTGGAGCATGGCGGCGTGCGAGGCTCCCTTCCCGACTGGAGACAGTCCTTCCCGAACGAGGCGTCGTCCTGCGCTGGCAAGTGCTTCTCGCTGTTGAAGGCCTCGTCCGCGTTCTTGTAACTTGACCAGGGTGCTCAGCACGGTGTCGGCCCTGTTCCACCAGTCTGTACGATGTGCGGCATAACGTGCTCGTCGGTCTCCTTTTTCTTCCAGCGGCGCTGTCTTGAATTCGCAGGGGTGTCCACGTCCGCAAAATACTGATCTGTCTGCCAAGTCCACTCTGTAAGCCATGCAATAGAATTTCTCCAGAGTGCCGGTGAACTGATGATAGCGTCGCCCGAGTCGTTCAGCTCCGTGCGGGTCGGTCTTGTATGCTGCACTCTGCTTTATGTACTCGGGGGCCGTGTCAGTCGACTCCAAGGCTTGTAGTTGTGCTGCCACTTCCCAAGTATCGCCCATGATTGTGGTGTCCACCCCTGCTGCTTTGTCCGCGATCCGCTGCTCCATCGTCTGTGAGGTAGCCCTTTGAGTTTCCTTCCACAGGTCCGACGAGTTGGTCGTGGCTGAATTCGGGTCGTGCATGGTCTCATCCGTGTTCACCGCCCTTTGAGTAGTGGAAACGACAGATTGAGGTGGGGCCAAATGGAGGCTAGGTACCTTGACGACGGACTCGCCTTGCTCCTCCCTTTGGCCCCAGATATTGCCTGAATGTGTCCCCGTAGTATCCCTCGCCTCTGGTGTATCCCAAGTCCCTTCGACGTCCTCGGGCATGAGTACGTCGCTGTCCGTGCTGATAAGGTTCGCGGCCAGGTCGTCGAAGGGGTCTATGTCATCGATGTCCATTTGTGCGACTGGTCTTGGGACGGGTCCACTGGTCTCAATGTCTGCGATCGCTCCAGTCTGGTTTCGCTTCCATCCGTCTGGCCCAAGAGCTTCCCATCTAACCGCGTCGGTCTCGGAGGGCACGTCATCGGAAGGGTTGGTTGTTTCGTCCAGGACTGGTAGCGATGCTTTCTTCTTCTTTGCTGCTTTGCTGTTGTGGTTGGTCTTCTTCGGCAGCTTGGGGTGGGGGAAAGCTTTCGGCATGCATGATCTTCTGCAGTCGTTCACCTGCGCTGCTGCCTTTATTGTAATGACCAAACCCACGTGGGGTTTCCAAGGTACATCGTGAACAACATGTATACCTCGAACAAGTCTCTGGCCTCCAGAGTTGACCAGGGCGTAGTCAATGTTCGAGGGGGTCGCGTCACCTAAGAAGCACGTGTTCTGGCCCTTCGACAGTTGGACAACACCCGTTGCGCCCAGTGCCGTCGGCCACCCTGTCTTCTCAAGCGCGTCGAACTCGCAATTGAAGCCGCCGCAGATGATCCATGTGGAGGAAGGCCGCGAGCGAGGTCAACTTCCTGGCGTTCACCCCGTCGACGAGGGAGGCGTTCGGGTCCAAGTAGAGGGAGATGATGAGCAGCGAGGTGCCCTTCAAATGGAGCGTGACTGGCGTCCAGTCGATCATATCTATGTCGCACGGCCCTCGATGAGCAGTCACACTCGAGGTCGTGCCTGCCCGTGCCGTGTGGCGGAAAGAGGTAGCCTTCAGGTGGCCCTTGGTGATGACAGCTGTGCCACCGTGGGTCCCCTTCTGGCTCTTCTCGCTCTGCCTGGCCGCCGTGAACACTGCTGAGAACCCTGATTTCTGCAGCTCGTATTCCACGTCATTGAGTTGTGCCTGTGCCAAGTGTGTTTCCTGCAGCGCATAAGCATCATAAGGTTGTCGAAGCCCATCGCGTCGGATCCAGCTCTTGGCCGTAGGTCCCCACGTTGATATGTTGGCGAAAAAGATCGCGCGGTCCAGGGGCTCGGCGTCGCCAACGGGTCGCCTGCCCCTCCGCGGTGGGCCCTAGCGCTGGCCTGGGCCAGCGCTTGCCCCGCCGCTGCCGCCAGCTGCCGCCTCCGCCCTCCTGCGCTGCTCCAGGTAGGCGTCTGCTCCGTCGACGGGGCTGTTCGTCGGGCTCGCCTGCAGGTGGGGTTGCTGCTGTTGGTGCTGGGGCCGCTGCTGGAGCTGCCTGCGCCTCCTTCGCTGTTTCACCTGAGCCCGCCTTTCGCTTCTTGTAGGCCTGGGTGATCGTGGCGCGCTCCTGATGTGTTTTCTCTTTCGCCTGCTGCAAGTGGTCCTTCAGCTGGCCCCTGAAGGTTGATGCAGTCTGTCGAAGATGCTCCAGGACCTGCTTCTTCGCTAATTCCACTTGCCGCTTTCCCTCTTCATCCATGTCCTCGTCGTACTGGAAGTGAGCCTCGACCTCGGCGATCTCGATCTCCGAGGGCTGGATCAGCTCCGTGTCCGCGCTCAGCAGCTGGTCGGAGATGCTCTTCGGCTTCTCCTTGCCCTCCTGCTGAATCATCTCTATCTCCTTCTCCGCGTTCAGAACGTCGTCCGCTCTGGCCGTGAGCAGCTCTGTTGCCTTCTTCGCCTTCTCGTCCGCTGACTGCTTCGCATCGAAAGCCCATTTGTACCTTCTGTTCGCGTCCTCGAGTTTCCTTGCTGCTTCTGCCAACCGAAGTGCTCGGGACTTGGGAGCCTGTGTGGGGGAACTCGCCGCTGCTTGAAGTGCCGTGGCCACACTCGTAAGCTGTTTGGCGATGCCGTCTTTGTTGTCGATCTGGAGGGTGTCCAGGGAGCTCGTCATCGTCTGCAATGCTGTCGCGATCTGCGCGAAGCCCTGCTGATCGGAGCCCATGGCACCGTCCGTACGGAACTGCTTGTCCTTGTCCTTGCCCTTGCCCTTGCCCTTGCCCTTGCCTCCGTTGCCGTCGCCCTTCGGCATGTCTCCTTTGGGCCTTGCAACTCGGCAGCCGCAGGAGCACCAGTAGTCGCGCGACTCCATCTGCGATATCCACCACCACATTTTGCAATGCTTGCACGTCGTCCACTGGGTCGGTGCCATACTGCCGTGGTGGAGGTTCAGGAGGAGGCGGGCGTTCACTCTCTGGAGGTCCTGGCGGGCCTGGCTCCTGCGCCTTCGGAGGCGCCTGTGCCAGGCGGGGGAGCGCGACCTCGTGGGTCCGCTCGGGCAGCGCGCCGTCGGCGCTGGGGGCTCTGCAATGGCACGGGCCGCGGCGGCCGCGGGGCAAAATGCTGCGGCGTCGCGCGGCCCGCTGCAGAGCCACCTAGGAGGAGGGGGAGGAGGAGGAGGAGGAGGAGGAGGAGGAGGAGGAGGAGGAGGAGAGGAGAGGAGGAGGAGGAGGAGGAGGGAGGAGGAGGAGGAGGGGGGGGAGGAGGAGGGGGAGGAGGAGGAGGAGGAGGAGGAGGAGGAGGAGGAGGAGGAGGAGGAGGAGGAGGAGGAGGAGGAGGAGGAGGGGAGGCCACACGCGGGCCTGCACTACGCATGCGTGGCCATGCCACTTTTTGGCTCTTCGAGCCGGGGGCGGGCCTCCTGGCCGCCGGGGGAGGACTCATCTCCAGCCACGCGCGGCCGTCCGCCGAGGCCGGCTCCGGCGTCCTGCCCCAGCCTCCCCCTCCCCTCGTGCAGGCCCAGGCCTCCCGCGGGCGCCACGACTAGGGGGCCGCATGCGAACCCTACCCCTGCCCCTCACGATTTCTGAGGGGGAGGGGTGGGGTTCACCTCGGGAGCTCCCGAGCGAAGCACCCCCCCCCCCTCAGACGTCGTCGGGGGTAGGGATAGGGTTCGCATGCGGCCCCCTAACAGCCTGCATGCTCTAAGCCTTGGCGCATCCGTCTAGCAGCGGGTCCCGCTGGAGCAGCTCGAGCAGGTGGTCCTGTGAGCGGCGGCCCTCGCACCACTGCCGCGCGTGGGCCGGTGCGGCTTGCACCGCCCGCCTCGCCTCCTCCCATTCCTCCGAGCTGCACTGGGCGGTCTTGCTTCTTGCCCCGCGCCTATGGCCTGGCAGATAGCCAGCGGCATCGGACAGCGTGGGGTCAGCGCCGTGCAGGAGCAGCAGCTGGACAATCGCCTTGTCGCCCAGCGAGACGGCCACATGGAGCGGGCGGCGCGCAGACGAGGCGCACCAGCGAGAGGTCTGCCGCAGCTGGTTGACGTCGGAGAAGCCGTGTGCCTGGAGGAAGTTACGCACCTCTGCCTCAGAGCACACACGTCGCTTCCCCTGAGCTTTCAGCGAGTCCACCCAGCTCGAGAATGACGAGCTCGACGCCGCGGTCTGCGCCGAGGTCTGCCGCCCAAACCCAGAATCCGGTGACGTGAGGCCCAGATTGCTGCGGCGTGTCCCCGAGATCTGCTGGAAAGGCCCAGACTGCCGCATGTCAGGACTCCTGGGCTCCGCGCGCCCTGCGGCCTGCCCGGCGCTGCCCGCACTCCGCGCCGTTCCGGCGCCGGCGCCGACGCCCGCCTTGGCTGCGAGCACCCGCGGCAAGCGGGCTCCCCGCACTGCGGGGGGCGCGCTGCCGGCACCGGCGCCGGCGGGGCAGGCGGCCGCGCAGGTGATGGCGCGCTGCCCCAT